ATAAGACGCAGTCGTTCCTACTTAATCCGATCACAGTTTAATGCAATCCTCTGCTTATTGCAGTCAGTGCCTTTGGAGCCAAATCAATTGCATGTCTTTGTTTCCACGTTTTCCTTGGTAATTTGATCACCTACAGCTGTTTGTTTTTTTTTTTTTTAAGCTCAATTGGGAAATCTGGCAATATCTTTTAAGAATTGCCACATAACATAAAACCAATAGAGAAACATCAGAATGACCAGTTTAAAAAACTGGCATGACAGAAGCAAAACTTCAGTTGTCTAAAATAGAAGTGCAATAGGATATGGCAGAGTCGAAGAAGAAAAGTTCTTGCAGAGAATCTTGACTCAACATCAAGTGATAAAATACTGTTGATTGTTTATCTGTATAATTATTCCAACTCACCTGAAGGTTGTATGTATGGTTGTGCTGCTGTTGGCATCATGAGGACACCAGTCTTCCAGTCAAAATGATAGAAATCATATTAATGCATTTCTCTGAAGCTAAAAGCACCTGTTAGTGATATAAATACCTTTTATTTGTTTTGCAAGGGCATCACCCTGAGCTTCCCATATGGCAAGTTGGCATTTACCTCATGAGTGATCATGGCATATTGCTGAAGGAAAGGCTGAGAAGGCCAATGGTGCAAAAATGGCCCCTTTTATTCTATTGGAATTTGAGTAACTCCAAATATGTACATGACTATTATAAAGTTTAGAGTAGACTCAGATGGTTAATTCTGCAAATTGAATGATTTCTGACTGTCCATAATGGAATAAGAGGATTACTTTGGTCTGTGCAAATACGAGTGAGATTGACAAGCTGCAAGTCCTAGTGATTGCAAATTACCTATTTCACATTGCTTTCAGAGCCGAGGTACCTGAGGATGTCTGCAGTTCTAGTACAAGTCATTCAAGGGGGGAAAAAATCCAAACAAATGTAAATTGATATCGATAGCCATTTTGAAAAATATGCTAAAGGGCATATGCCACAGTTCCTCTTTTTGATATGCCAGTCGTATCTGGGAGAACAGAGTGAGCTGCCCTAGTGAGGGTAACCTGTGGAGTCCTGAACGTGGTCTGTGTGGCACTTTTCAGGAAGGCTTTAGAAGTAGAGCAGGGCTGTGTCCTGTCCCTCCTTTACTAAAGTCAGCTAAGTCCAATTCCTCACTGTACTCATTCAGAGTCTAAGTGCTGGGCACCCAAGTATTTCATTTTGTCCCCCTCCACAGGGAAACATCAAACAGCTTTACTAGACATATACCTAACTTTAGAGGATGGGTGTGTGTGTGATACCAGAATGTGCCTCACTTCGGGGGAAGGGAGGGCATGTCTGAGTTTGGAGGGAAATGGAACTCATAATGTGATTCCCATCAGCATCTAGACCTTTAATCTATACAAATGAAATAGTATAATAGAATTCTAAAAGTAAAACAAATGCTTTGTTCTTAGTGAATCTGCCATTCAGAGTTGCTCTTGGCACCACATCAACTGTACTTGAAATGTCTTTAAGTGGGTATTTTTTTTTTGTTGTTGTGCTTTTCATCTTAACCCATCTTTCAAGTTGTTAGAGGAATAGGAAGGCTGAGCTCCTCTCAGAGTGTCGGGTCTGTACTGTTCCAAGGTCTCTATTTGCTTACTTAACAATGAAGAGCTCATCTTAATAAGTATTTTGGCCACACTGCATTAGAGTTTAGAGACTAAGAAGCAACAGAGTGCATTACAATGAGTTAGAGGTAGAAAGGAAAGAAATACAACATAAGGAAATGTTTGTAATGAAATGTATTACAGTTGCTACCAAAGTGAAACTACTGTCTTAGAGAAATCAGGTGCCAAAAAAGGGCCACAAACTGTGGAGGTGAAGAAATAATACTTAGTATTAATTGAACATTTACCAAGTTCTAGGCACTGTGCCATGAATTTCTCACATAATATTTTTCTCAACCTTAGCACATCCACATGAGTTATAAAGAGGAAAAAGAGGTCTTGAATGGGGTTGTTACACAGTAAGTGGCTCAAATTGTGATCTACCTGACCTCATGATCTTTTGCTAAGTTCTGGTGGATTCTTTGTGATCTTTTTAGATGTGCATCAAAATATTAATTTTTTTATCAAGAGTATAACTCTTTTTATATTTATTAGCATTTTCACGTGAATATGTAGAAATTCAAATCATTTGTTGGTTTTAAATCTTTATTTAAGCCTCTTTGGAGTATTTCTATCATTGGGAACTATGCAAGAATTTTGGAAAGACTTCTTCAGTAGTTGAGATGCATACTTTGGGAGTCTGAAGAGAAAAATGGAGGAATCCTGGTTTGTTCTCTGCTTCTTGACATGAAGTCCCTGTGCTGAAATGTTGCATTCAAAATGAGTTTTAGTGCTTGCTTCGGCAGCACATATACTAAAATAGGAAGGCTACAGAGATCAGCATGTTCCCTGTGCAAGGATGACACAGAAATTCGTGAAGCATTCCATATTAAAAAAAAGAATGAGTTTTAAAAATTATTTGGCCATATTTTCAGGGGTGCAATGTTTTTGTCTAAAGTAAGTCTAAGTAAGTCCTGTTGGGCAGGGACTGAATGGATATTCCGCTACCAAGAGCCCATATGACATAGGAGATACCCAAGAATGGAGGCTGTCAGAGCCCACCTTGCTCACTGTCACATGCACATGATCTCAGGGCAGGTGGGTCAGGGGACTCACGGCCTAAAGGGGTCTTTTCCATCAGAGAAATACTTCTAGGCTGCTGGTTATTAGCAGTCATTGAGGAAAACAGCCCTTTCTGATTTGTGTCTTTGTCTTCTTCCTCCTCCAAATGTGTGAAATATTGTGCAAATCGCCATTGGAATATAACAAAATATCTTTTGACTCTTGCCCTCTAGGAACTCAGAACCCCTAGGAAAGACTAGACACTGTCACTTGAAAAATAAGGTTGGAAGAAGAAAAAAAGAGTTTCTGGTCCCCTCCCTGTTTCCCTCAGGAAGTGGCCCTGGTGTCTTCTTCATGAGCACAGCAACTTAGTCCTTCTGTTCATTGATGTCTCCCCAGGGCCTCCACAGAGACACTCAGTATTGAAGGAATGAATGAGGTTAGAGGCGAGTAGGATTTAAAATAGTTCTTTTTAAGAGGAGTTCTATAGGTATGTGTTGAAAGAGCAGGGGAGGAAAGTATAAGGTCAGTTTGGGGAGAACTATTTTGAGTGAAGTGAAGGGCCATTGAAGGAAAATTTTCAGATACTGTCAGAAAAATAGGTGGGAGCCACATGTTGGAGAGCATTGAATTTCTGACCAAGGAGTGCCCAGAATCCGTGTTGTGTGTTTTCCTTAGGGGGTGATTAGAGTAGGAAAGTAGACCATCAGTGTGATTCAACTTCCCAAGCTTGGAAGGCAAATTGCATGCCCATCTTCTAAATTTTTGCTGCTTATGCAGGATAATTTTTTTTTTTTTTACTTGCACTGAGTTGATGGACTATTTGATATGAAGTCATTGTAATTTGCTGACATATACCACTACACTGTAGTTTGTGGCCATGATATTATTGAACCTCTTTTAGCTGATTTCTATCCCCTGTCACTTGAGGGACTCCTTGCCTGAATTATCCTTTTGCCTCTGCCTGATCTCTTTGTAGAAGAACAAACAGGGAAAAGGAAGAGAAGATAAATGAATGGTTGCTGATCTATGGAAATCTACCAATCACTTTAACATATCTAACTTTATTAGTTTATTACATTTAATATACATATCTTAATCCAAAGGGTATTAAAAATGCATGTAAATTTTTTAAAAAGGTGAACCCATTAGAGAAAAGGAAAAATAAAATAAGAAAAATAAAGGAAGCCGGTGGTGTTTGCTGCACAGAACACCTGCCACGAGGACTGGTACAGTTGTTAGAGGTGGTTACAAATCGGATTTGGGACTCAGAGCCTTTTGACTTCCAGTGGAAAGAGGGAAACATGGTGAGTTAGATGATTCACGGTGTTTGTGAGATAAAAAGAAATCAATTACCCAGGAGCAAGCAGCCCAGCTAGTTCTGGAACCTGAGAGAAAATTCTCCCACGAGTCCTCATAAAGAAGACTATGAAACATTTTTCTTTTTGGCTGCCAGTGGGAAGGGTTGATACCCTCTTATGAAAATGGAGGAGTCAGACAACATTCTCTGCTGCCTGGAAGCAGGCTGAGATGGTAGCTGGGCAGGGCCAAGCTGTCATCTTCAGCCCCTAAATACCTCAAGCAATACCTTTATAATGAACTCTCTAAGATATACTCTTTATCCCCTTCCTATCACAGCCTTCAGTTATTATGTTTAATATTTGTTTACTGTTTCTTCTTCCAAATAGCTTGTAATCTGCAGAAGGGCAGGGACTCTAGGCATCTTATTTATCTTTCATTTCCACATAGCACAAAACCTGGCATATATTAAGAGCTTCGTAGATATATATTGAAGATGGAGTGGAAAGAACTGGTGCTTAAAAGAGATCTTTAACTACTTACAAGCCTGGTCTCACTGGTTTGCTAGCTATAAAAATATTAGGAATGTTTACCAGAATGATTGATCTTGAAACAGCTGATGTTCTTCTTGCCAGTAATCAGATAGGATCAGTTTACCACACAACTCAGTTATCTGCTGAGTTCACCCTACACAGAAAATGTTGAGAGTAGAGTTTATAATCTGTACCTCACTGATGAGGACACAAAAGCTCAGAGAAGTTGAATTACAGATTTATTTCCTACTTAAAAAATAACCCAAAATGTATTTTAAAATCAAGACAATTTCATGAGCATATTGTATCACTTGGCTGTGGTACGTGGGGCAGCTACATCCCTACCCGTTAGTTAAATGTTAGGCATTTCTAAAATAATCAAGGTGTTTGTGGCAACCAGTTATATGGCTAACTTTTGTTTGCTTCCCTTTTCAAATATGGATTACTGCCATTCCTGGTGAGAGAACACATGTATCCATTTCCTGTGGTGGCAGATTAAGGGCTGTGTCCTCTCACCCTGCAGGGACACGGAATACAAAGGTTTGCAGCTCTCCCTGGATCAGATCTCAGCCTCTAAACCAGCCTTCTCCTACACCAGCAGCTCCACCCCTACCGTGACTGACAACAGGAAGGGGGTCAAGTCCAGGCTCTCCGGCTCAAAGTCAAAATCCAGGACTTCCCCATATCCTCAGGTCGGTGCACTGCCATTTTGCAACTTTCTTTTTTTTGTAACTTGGTTTGGTCTTGAAGTTGGGGAAGTATTAAAATGGTTTGTAATTAATTATCTGGTTGTAATAAATTTAAAACTTTATATATCTGGAAAACTTTCTAAAACTATCTTCTTCCTTCTCTTCTTCCTTTAAAATAGGTATGCTAGTAAAAATTTGAAATGATCTGGTGATTAACTGGTTTTATATGAAGATCATGAGAGACTCAGTTGTAGTCGGAACCATAACTGTTATTTCAAGGAGATTTATCCTAAAAATTTCCCCTCAAGCAAAATATGGAAAACTAGAGCTTGACATAGTCAAATTGATTTTTAGGACAGGGACTGAAGTAGAAGGAAATTAAGAGGTGGAGGCAAAGAATCAAGGATGCATTTCACCATGAGATTTGAGCACAGGAGAACTATTTTGGGAAATAGTCTACCAGATGGGGGTAAGGATAGGAAAAGAAACTCTCCTCTCATCTGTACAAGGTGATGAGCAGATAAGACCCAGAGGAGGTATTCCAGAAACAATGCAAGGTACAAAGATGAGTCTGTATTCTTGGAAGGAAAAAATTATTTTTCTGATTAGTCACTGAGATGTAGAAATTAGACAGTCTCAAGATATATGCACAACTCTCTTCTGGCTTGAAAGAAGTAGGACAGAACTGGGGATCCCCTACTGCCAGGACCCTGTGACCATCTCACCTCCTCTGTCCTTTTCTGTTTTTTTTTTGTTTATTTATTCATTTTTTTTTGGGAGGGAGGGAGGGAGGGAGAGAGAGACAGAGAGAGAGAGAGAACAAGCAGGGGAGGGTCAGTGAGAGGGGAAGCAGAGAATCTCAAGCAGGCTCCAGGCTCTGTGCTGTCAGTTCAGAGCCTGACATGGCACTCAGACTCATGAACCATGAGATCATGACCTGACTGAAGTCAGACATTTAACCAACTGAGCCACCCAGGTGCCACTTGCCTCTTTCCTTTTCTCTGTGGTGCCACATCGCTGGAGTAACTCAGGAGATAATTGCTGGGCTTATATAAAGCTAAACTGGATTTTGAGTCATTTTGTCAAAGTGGTCTTTATCATTTATGTTTTAAATGTATTTTTTAAGCAAAAAATGACTAGTGGTTACAGAAACTGTTATTTCCTTACTTATCAGAGCTCTATTATTCTGTTGATTTCTACAAATACATATACTATTTGAGAAAATGTCATTCATTGAACTAATGCTCACTAAGAAGCTACTATTTGCTAGATTATTTTAGCAGCTTGGTATATAAAGATGAGAAGATCATGAGCCCCAAGAGACTTATGTCACACAGTTTAAAATCTCTCACAGAAGCCAGATCTCTTCACTCTGACAAAAGGGAGAAAGTAGGTATGTGATACCCAGATAGTTTTCAGTGTGCACCCTCTGTTATGAAGACTGAGCACTTTATGTAAAAAGTACATTTTAGTTAAAGTCACTGTGGAGGAGGAGTTGCTTCTTTTTGTTAAACATCTCAGAAGGTTTTCTTATTACAATCTTGTACCTTGGGGAAAAAAGTTTCACTGTCTCTTTTTACTACTTGGAAGAATGGATTATGCCTTTGGGTAATTCCATCCTTAAATATACAGGAGTGCTGAACACACAGAGGAAAGAGAAATTTAAATTAGGAAATGCTAAGTTAAGAAATTTATCCATTTTTACACAGTAATTAAGGTGCAAAAACAAAGTCCCCCCATTGGACTTCCAAAAACTCATGAATTCTGTTTTCCTTTTAAAAATTTTTTTTAATGTTTACTTTATTTTTGAGAGAGAAAGAGAGAGAGAGCATGAGCAAGGGAGGGGTGGAGAGAGAGGGAGACAGAGAATCCAAAGCAGGCTCCAGGCTCTGAGTGGTCAGCCCAGAGTCTGATGCGGGGCTCAAACTCATGGACTGTGAGATCATGACCTAAGCTGAAGTCAGACACTTAACCAGCTGAGCCACCCAGGTGCCCCTGAATTCAGTTTTCTTGCATGCACAGCTCTAACGTCTAAAATGTCTATTAGTTTACTCTAATGGTAGACTACTCATTTTTTTTTTTTTAAATCTTGTAACTGTCAGTAGACTTCTCTTTGCATGTGTGGTCAGGGAGGAATTAATTTGAAAGTGCCTGGGTGATTCAGTCAAGTGACTCTCGAATTTAGCTTAGGTCATAATCTCACAGTCATGAGATCGAGTCCCACATTGGACTCTGCATCAGGCTTGACGTTGGGCATGGAGCCTGCTTAAGATTCTTTCTCCCCCTCTCTCTGCCCTTCTCCTGCTCTCTCTCTCTCTCTCTCTCTCTCTCTCTCTCAAAAAATGAGAAAGTTATACATGTTCCCTAGTTTAAAAGTAATACAGGAGAGTTGAAAATAGAAAAAACACTTCTCTTGCCTCATTTTCCCTCTCTAAAAATGCACTTTCTTCTAGAAGTATTCTGTGATGTATAAAAATCATGCAAATGCACACACATAATGTCCGTATAGGATTTCTCTTTATGTTGTGTGTTCATTTTTGTGGCTAATACTTACATATATGTAGTCCTTGTAATTTTGGCCATATGTCTCATTTGAAATCACAGTCATGAATTAAGTTTACTTACCATTTATGTGCCTAGTAAAGGTTATTCTTTAATTGTGTTTCTTTAGATAGTCATGGTGCTAGGTCAATCACTGACTGAGTTCCTACTGTATGGGCTACTAATATGTAGAGATCAGAAATGGAACTCACAGTTTATGCTCTAGGAGCCACTTCTATAGACAGATGAAGGAACAGACGTTTGCAGTGAATTGTCATGGGGATGAGCATAGGGTCTCCCGGGGGCACATCAGCAAAGCATGAAATCCAGGGCAAACTCATCACTGTTTCTGCTGGAAGAAAGCAACTTGGTAGTATCATCTTGGATTCCAAATCCTCAGGAATGTTAAAGAAAAAAGATTAGCTACTCAAAAGTCTCATTTGTTTCAAATTATTCTTATATAATAAAGGGATACTTAGCTTTTAATTTTCATGCTTCATTGCTAATATGTGTCTTTGGCTCAGTAGATGTTAGCTGAGCACTGAAGGATGCTATGCTGGCCATTGTGGTGAACAAGGGTAGCAGGTGGGTGAAAGGTGCTAGAATATAAAGAAGTGGTGTAAGAAATGTCGTTATGTTTTGCAGTACAGCAGAAATAACACATGAGAATAAGTAACGTATAAGAAAGAGATGGTGTACACAAAGGGCTTCATGAATGATGTCAGCTGCGTGGACTATAGTCTGGATGATGGGGGAATGCATTGTGCCTGACCTGGCTTTGAGAGTAGGATTCAGGTAGACAGGCATAAGGGAAAGGAGAGGACACTTCAGAAAGACCAACATTATGAAGAAATACAGAAAGGTGTTGTGATTGGGACTGGAGGTGAAGTGGGGAAGAATTTGTCCCTGGGGATGAGGACGCAGGGTGATATGTTTGGAAGCACTGATTGGTGCCAAATATCTGCCAAACCAAGGAATTTAATTTGTTTTGGGGAGAACCAGTAAATTTTTTTTTTTACTTTAACCAATTTATACACACTTTATTTTTTTAAGTGACAGAAATAAAAAAATTTTAATATAATTTATTGTCAAATTGGCTAACACACAGAGTGTAAAGTGTGCGCTTGGTTTTTGGGGTAGATTCCTGTGGTTCGTCGTTCCCATACAACACCCAGTGCTCATCCCAACAGGTGCCCTCCTCAATGCCCATCACCCATTTTCCCCTCTCCCCCATGCCCCCATCAACCTTCAGTTTGTTCTCTGTATTTAAGTCTCTTATGGTTTGCCTCCCTCCCTCTCTGTAACTATTTCCCCCCACTTCCCTTCGCACATGGTCTTCTGTTGAGTTTCTCAAGACCCACATATGGGTGAAAACATACAGTATCTGTCTTTCTCTGACTGACTTATTTCACTCAGTGCAATACCTTCCAGTTTCATCCACATTGCTGCAAATGGCATTATTTCATTATTTCTCATTGCTAAGTAGTATTCCATTGTACATATAAACCACATCTTCTTTATCCATTCATCAGTTGATGGACATTTAGGTTCTTTCCATAATTTGGCTCTTGTTGAAAGCACTGCTATAAAAATTGGGGTACATTTGCCCCTATGTATCAGCACTCCTTTATCTTTTGGATAGATTCCTAGAAGTGCTATTACTGGGTCGTAGGGTAGTTCTATTTTTAAATTTTTGAGGAACCTCCGCACTGTTTTTTGAGAGTGCTGCACCAGTTTGCATTCCCACCAACAGTACAAGAGGGTTCCCATTTCTCCACATCCTCGCCAGCATCTGTTGTTTCCTGAGTTGTTCATTTTAGCCACTCTGACTGGAATGGGGTGGTATCTCAGTGTGGTTTTGATTTATATTTCCTTGATGATGAGTGATGTTAAGGCTCTTTTCATGTGTCTGTTGGCCATCTGGATGTCTTCTTTGGAAAAGTATCTATTCATGTCTTCTGCCCATTTCTTCACTGGATTATTTGTTTTTTGGGGTGTTGAGTTTGGTAAGTAAAGGTTTTTGAACAGGAAATGAGCGCATTAAGGTGGCTGAAACAAGGCACACTCCTCATTTAAATAATCCTGACGCACATCTGTGAAGGTCTGAACTAAAGTTCTCTACGGAGGTAAAAGGCATTATAGAGGAAGAATGGATGAAATTCTTTGTATCCTTGGCTGCTTGTACCTCTGCTCCTTGTAGAGATATTTTGATCATTAAAGATTTATCTTGAAATTGTGTTTTAAAGCTTGTTTCTTGTAGTTAGTGACACACTTATAGTGAATTTTCCTTCATGGGTTAACAGAGCCGTAATAAATGCATTTTCAGTTCCTAAATGATCAAGCTTCTGTGTTTAATTTTAAATACTTATTCCCCTTTTCTCAAAAATAAAATGTTATTTCCATGTTCATATATTTTTAGCATGCAGATTCTCATTAGAATTTTCAAGAGGCAGTTTCCAGAG